CCCCGTAGCTTCAGTCGCAGAGCCCCGGAGGTGACCGACGCTTCAAGTTGGCCCGCGGCCCGGGAGAGATTCTGGACCCTGGGAGCCCCAGGGGGGCGGTGCTGGGGCCTGGCAGGCTCGGTACCTGATAGGCCAGCGGTTGTGACACCTCGGGGTCCGCCCAGCCGAGCGCTCCAGCTAATTGGCCTCAGTTTCCTCCTATGTAAAAGCCTTGATAAGGTAGTTGCCGGAAGCCAAGGAGCCAAAGCGCGTGTGCCTTAGCTTATGGCGTACGGCAGGCGCTCAATAAACGTCAGTTCAGGACTGGGGATATTGCCCCCGGAGGTAGAGTGCTTACTTAGCATACGTGAGGCCTAGCAGTGCGAGGCGGCTTATTATTCCCACTTAGTGTCAACGCTCCCTCCGCTGTTCAGCTGTTCATTTATTGCCTGGCTTTGTGCTCCAAACGAGCAACATCCCTCTGGGGCCAAGCTCTTCGCGGGTGTGGTTGCGATCTCGCCCACCCCCACGCCCGTGAACATATTAAGTAGATCCTCAATAAATGGGCCAACGCTATTTTGTGCACAACTATTTTTCACAGGGACAAAGAGGGCGTAGAATAGTGTGTCTCAGGAGCGAAAACTGAAGCCTGGTGGAGAATGGCTCACACAAGGTGACAAAGGCTGGCTCTAGCCAACGGGCCAAAGGTGATAACCAGGCAATAAGGAGACAATGTGGGTCTTCAGGACAGGTGCTATCGGCCCGGCTTCCAGAAAACAATGTGGCCACAGACAGGGTGGCGAGGGTGGGGGGGGATGGTGCAATTACAAGCCCAGAAAGGTTGCCAAGCCCCTGACCTTCCTCCGCCCACGTCGCACGCTGCGCCTTTAAATCCGGAGAGCATCCAAGAGTCCCGCCCCCGAAGGAGTGCGCCGGCAGGAGGGGGCGTGGCCGTCCTGTCATTGGCTGAGCCATGAAGTATTTTGGAACGTGTGCGCCACCGGCGGGTGCGTGGATTGGAGCTTGGGCCTGTTTGTTTGAGTGTCCCTGGGGTCACCCGCCAGCCCTTGGGCCTCGGCGTTCGTTCCCGGGCCTTTCACGTTCCATCCCCAGGCTGGTCCGGGTGCTGAGGTCCAGCAGATCCACCGCGTCCTCCGGTCGGTGCGCCGACACCGGGCGCAGGTACGAAAGAGGCGCGGCGCCCGGCCCGAGGCTGGGGTCTCCCTGTCCCGGGCGTGGCGTGCGTCCAGCACAGGTTGGGGGCGTGGCCCGCGGTCGCGCGGCTGCGGCCTGGGAAGGAAGGACTTCGGCACCAAGGCCCGAGTTCGAATCTCAAACTTGGCCCTTCGAATCTTGATTTCCGGGCTTCTGTTTCCTCCGGCGAGGAGGGCTGAAACAGGGCCATCTGTGGGCTGCTACGCTGTCTGCTCAGCCCTGGCCACGGTTTAGCGGGTTTGGCCGGGGAGTGGAAGGGCCCCGAGGCATCCAGGGCCAGGCTGCGCGGAGGAGCCTGGTTATTTTTAATCATCCTGGCCCGCCCTCCCCTTCCGGGAGTTGGAATGCTGGGTGTCGGGGCCTGCACGACCGCGCAGAGGCAAGGCTGAGCCCCACTATAATGGAATAGTGCTTGTATTGAAAGCGTTTTACAGTTTACGAAGTGAATTCTTGGTCCTGCTGGGGGGCCATGGGCTGTTTTTGTCTCAGAGGTAGACACTGATGAGAAAGCAGAAACCGGCTTTGGGGCCATGGTGGGTCATCTAGCTGGCCTGTGATCTCCCTAGCCCCCAGAGTGGGGTCTTATTTTTAGTCTCCGGCAAGTGGGCAGGTGTCCCGGCTGAGTCACACACAGCTTTAGGCTTCAGCTACTCCAAGCATCTTGTCACTTGGCAGTGGGTCTCAGGTACCCACAGACCAGCAGGGAGGGCTAACATCCTTGGTGTCCCATCAGGCTGTGTCTAGGCCCTGAGAGATTTCTGCCTCCATTTCCCAGGTGCCATCCAGTCACTCAGCCTTCCTGATACCTTGCCATCTTACAGATGCGCAAAGAGGCTGTGGCTGCTGGCCCTCCGCTCACCTGTGTATTTGGCTTCCCATCAGCTGAAGACCCTTCCCTCCATCCTAGCACGGGCTCAAGCCCAAGCGGTCCAGAGAGCCCTTTTGAGAGATGCACTAGGCAGCTGTTTGGGATCAGCATCTTTAGGGTTGGCTTATTCTTCTGACAATGGAGGTGTCAGCCTTGACTTGAACACACACATTGATAGATGCTACCAGCCTCCCTTGGGCCATCTTGCTCGCCTTGACCTTTGACCTGTTAGTCCTGACTGAGAGTTTCCTTCTAAAGATTTGGGGGGTTGGCCTCCTGAGCATCACTGAGGTCCTACTAAAGTTCTTACAGGTTCCCTAGGCAGGATGCCAAGGGCCCCAAGTTGCAGATCTTTGGATTCCTCCTAACAACTTATCAGTCAGGAGGAGTAGGCCCAGTCCTGGTTAGGAAGCTGAGGACCTGACCAAATGGACAAGTGCTTAGTCTCTGGGTGTGGAGGAGTCTGGAGACGTTGTAGTTGTGGGTTTGAGACCTTCCCACTCACTGAGTTACTTGGCATCCTGTATCTGTGAAATAGGTGGTGTCCCAGGACAGAAATCTTTGGTCATATCAGAGATCTTGGAGGGTGGAGGGCTGGATCAGGAAAGTGGGCTTCTCTTTCCTATGGCTTTCCTTATGTGCTTCTTTCCAGGCATAGACTGTTTGCAGCTTTCTGGGAAGGAACACAGCTCTTTCATCTCAAAGGAAACACTGAGTGGCTGCTTTCTCATGAGAAATCCCTGATCACCTCCCTTGTAGGCTCAACTCTTAGTTACTCCAGAGCACCTTCCCATGCTGGCCCCCTACCAGTCTGGTTGTCCCCTCCCTCAGTGCCCCATGCTTATGACTTTCTTGCAGGAAGACATGGCAGAGTTCTCTCAGAAGCGGGGGAAGCAGCGTGGTGGTGAGGGCCTGGGCAGCGCGGTGGACTTCCTTCTGGCCAACGCCCGTCTGGTGCTGGGTGTGGGCGGAGCAGCTGTGCTGGGCATTGCCACCCTGGCTGTGAAACGGGTAAGGTTAAACTGGATGAAGCCTTCGTGAGATTTGCAGAGGAGGACAAGGTTGGGGTCTAGGACCGGTGGTGGGACTTTCTGAGGCTAGACTGGAGCCCAAGGAATCCATTTCTCTATCCCAGTACCATGCTTTGCTTTGCTCCTGCTGTCTAGGCTTTGGATGCTCTGATCTGTGTCACTTTGCTTGCAGCTCATTGACAGGGCAACCAGCCCTCGGGATGAGGATGACACCAAGGGGGATGGCTGGAATGAACTGAGTCTGCTAAAGGCCACACCACACCAACAGCCCCGGCCCCCACCTGTTGCCCTCAGCCAGCCCATATTGCCCCTAGTCCCCTCCTCCTCTGCACAAGGTAATTGACACACCTTAACCCTCTGATGGGGGGGAGAAGGGGGGTGCTCCTTTCATAGTCACACTGGAGTTCTGCCACTGAACAACTTACAGCCCTATGCAAGTCTCTACTTCTCCAGATTGTTGGTTCCTTAAATGTTGGATGAGGGTCATAGGTCTTTTTGGTTCATATATATATATATATATATTTTTTGTCGGTTGTGGGGCTTGAACTCGGCCTGGGCGCTGTCCCTCAGCTCTTCAGCCCAAGGCGAGCACTCTACCACTTGAGCTACAGCGCCACTTCCGGTTTTCTGGTGGTTTATTGGAGATAGGAGTCTCACAGTCTCTCCTGCCCGGGCTGGCTTTGAACCTCGATCCTCAGATCTCAGCCTCCTGAGTAGCTAGGATTACAGGCGCGAGCCACCAGCGCCCGGCCAAGGTTCATATAATTTTTTTTGGTAACGTGGGGGGCCAGTATTCATTCTAGGCAAGCACTCTACCACTGAGCTATGCCTCCAGCTCTAGGATTGATTTTTGCCTTCTTTCTACAAGTAGAAACATCAACACAGTATGATGATGGGGAGCTTCAGATAGGAAAACGGAGACTGGGAGAGGGGAAGGGCCAATTTTCTCTGCTCTGTTTGAAGCTGTAGGGCCAGAGTGTTGGGGCTCTGAGTCAGTGAGAGTTTATTATCAAGCAGTCACTGTTCTGAGGACCTGAACTCAGTGCTTTCTCAGTGGCTATTCCAGGTGACGACAGGCATAAGGTCCTCACATAGCTGGTGATGATTTAGAGTTCTCTTAATTCGTGGGGTGTTCTGATAATTTTCCCCAAACTCTTCATTCTGCAGTGAGGTCCACAGATACCAGTCCTCAGACGCCTGCCCAACTCAGCTCTCCAGCACCGCTGTGCCTGACGTTCCAGGAGAAGCTCCTGGCATTCGAGCGTGACCATGTGGTTATCCCAGCAGCCCAAGTGGCTTTGGCCAAACAGCTGGCCGGTGACATCGCCCTGGAGCTTCAGGCTTACCTGAGGAACAAGTTCCCAGAACTGCCCTTTGGGGCACTTGTGCCTGGAGGGCCACTCTATGATGGGCTGCAGGCAGGGGCTGCTGAGCACGTGCGCCTTCTGGTACCAGTGGTGCTGGAGCCTGGCCTGTGGAGCCTGGTGCCTGGTATAGACACTGTGGCCAGGGACCCCCGCTGCTGGGCTGTTCGGAGGACTCAGCTTGAGTTCTGCCCCCGGGGAAGCAGTCCTTGGGACCGTTTCCTGGTCGGGGGTTACTTCTCTTCCAGAGTTCTGCTAGAGCTACTCCGTAAGGCCCTGGCTGCCTCAGTCAACTGGCCAGCCATTGGCGGCCTGCTTGGGTGCCTGATCCGGCCCAATGTGGCTTCAGAGGAGCTGCTGCTGGAGGTACAGCATGAGCGTCTGGAACTCACTGTGGCTGTGCTGGTGGCAGTCCCTGGGGCCAGTGCTAATGACTACCTTCTGCTCGCCTGGCCCCTAGAAGGGCTGGCAGGGAACCTCTGGCTTCAGGACTTGTATCCAATGGAGGCCTCCAGGTTGCGGGCCCTGGATGACCAGGATGCTGGCACTCGCAGAAGGTTGCTGCTGCTTCTGTGTGCTGTCTGCCGGGGACACCCGGCCCTGGGGCAATTGGGGCGGGACCACCTGACTCAGGTGGTTCTGCGCCTGGGGGAGGAGGAAGCTGAGTGGGCTGAGGAGGTCCTGGGAGAGCGCTTTCTACAGGCCCTGGAATTGCTGGTGGGCAGCTTGGAGCAGTCCAGCCTGCCGAGCCACTTCAACCCCAGAGTGAACCTCTTGGGCAGCTTTCGGGAGGAGGAGATCGATAACATCGGCTATGTGCTCTACAGTGGTCTGCAGGCACCTGAGGGACTGCTTTAGAGGAGCGAAGGCCCTGGTGGCCTGCATGGTTTGTTTCCAGGGAGCTGCAGCTGCTTCCCTCCCAGAGATCTGCAGAGTGGTGTTTTGCTTGCTTTTAACCAGAACAAAGGAGGGACATGGTACTGGCTTATGCTTGGGATTCCGGAGTCTGGGGAGTTTGGGTTGCTGTCACCTAAGTGTGGTTGGATGGCCCTGGGCAGCTAACAGTGCTCACCACTCAGATACCACCTCAGACCTGAGTCCAGCTCAGGATTTGGGCTTAGAACATACCAGCAATGAAACCACGAAGAATGTGGTTTCTGCCATCCTAGGCCAGGTAAAGGCCAACTACATCCTTTTGCCAAGAGAAATAACTTTCCTGGGTACCAACTCCAAGCATCCTGAAGGCATGTAGAGCCTGGCTATTGAGTATTGGTTCCACCCCTGAGGCTGGAATCAGGACAGCTTTTTAGCTGTTGCATGGTGTCATTTTCCAGTTTCTCTTGTGTATTTGGTTTTCTTATTGAGTACTCTGTGGGCTGTCCCACCCGCTGCCCACTGGATACCTCAGGGAAGGCCCTTTCCCTCCTGCTGGCTAAGTTTTCAGGGTGGCTGAGCCTGAGCCTTGCTCTTGCTGTGGGAGCCAAGCTATGGGCTGCCCTAGCCATGGAAGTTGCTTCTAAGCAGCACTGGAAAGCAGAGGGCATGTCCTTCCCAGAGGAGGCCTGTGCGCAGACCTGGCCTCCACAGAGTGCCAAAACAGACTGCTGTCAGCAGATGTATGTATCCTGACCTTGGAGCCTAGCTGAGGTAGCAGGGGCTGGCTGAGGAAGCGTGCCTCCCCTCCCAGGGGCCCCTTCAGGTTTGGTTCTCTGCTGCTGAAACAAAAGCTATGCCTTGAAGAATGTGAACAAGAATAAAAGAAAATTTGTATGTGTGTGACTTGTTAGGGAAGGTGGCCTTGGCAACTTCATAGGTGGTTGATTGGAGTCACTCCTCTGGCTTGGCTTGGTCTGGCCTGGCAGCGGGGCAAGAGGACTTAGGTCAACTTGGGCGTGGCGATTTATTTTTAAGAAGCAGTATCTTCGGGTGGGGGTGAGGAGGCACAGTGGTTCATGCCTGTAATCCTGCCTCACAGGCTAAGATATGAGAATCTGTTTGAAGCCAGCCTTGACAGAAAGTCTGGTAAATCCTTTTTTTTTTTTGGTCCAGTCGTGGGGCTTGAACTCTGGGCCTGGGCACTGTCCCTCAGCTCTTCAGCTCAAGGCTAGCGCTCTACCACTTGAGCCACAGCGCCACTTCCGGATTTTTTCTTTTTGCTTATATGTTGCTGAGGAATCGAACCCAGGGCCTCGAGCATGCGAGGCAAGCCCTCTACTACTGAGCCACCTTCCCAGCCCCTCTGGTAAATTCTTATCTCCAGTTAACCACCAGAAAACCAGAAGTGGCAGCAGAAGTGGCACTGAGGCTTAAGTGGTAGAGTGCCAGCCTTGTGCACAAAAGCTCAGGGACAAATGCCCACGCCTGGAGTTCAAGCCCCAGGATTGGCAAAAAAAAAAAAAAAAGCACTGTTCACCTGTTCAAGCTGCTGTAGCAATTCCAAGCTGAATTGGCTCTGACAAATTTCTCAGCTTTGGAGTGAGTCTGTCAGGAAAGTTCACGTGTGGTGAGGGCTTACATCCTGGTTGAGGGATGTCACCTCCTAGCTGTACCTTCATAGAGCAGCATGGAGTGAGGGATCTCAAGGCTTTCATAGGGACACCATGTGTTATAAGGGGTTATACTAGGTGGTTATGGGGGTGACCCACCCGATTCCACCACACCAGAGGTCAGAAGTTGAGACAAGTCCTAGGAGTACAGAGCCTGAGAGTGTTGGTGGGAGTTTTGCTCTGGTAATGGGAACCACCTGGTTAGGGTTTTGTGTCTGCTCCAAAGGTTGAGCTGCTGAGCCTGACTCAGGTGTTTGCCTGCTCCCTGGAGTCTTCTCCTGGGTCTCCTTTTGGTTCTACAAGTGAGTCAAGCAGCTCTGAAGCTAGGTGTTTCCCATGGGCCAACCTGGGGCTCCTTGTCTGTCACCACAGATGACAAGTCAGGCTTTGAGTCCATGCCATTCACATCTGGTCTGTCCTTCCTGTGGCGACCCCACACCCTGCAGTGAGGGCAGGGCTTGTGCTTTAGTCCTGTCAACTGTGAAATGGAGACTTGATGCCTTTCTGGGCAGTTGTGGACAGTCTACCACCTTCCACAAAGGTGAAGAACCAGAATGGGAGCTGCTTGAGCCCCATCGCCTCAGACTCTATCAGCATCACCAAGGGCCAGCACAGCAGGGCCCTCTGAGGTGTCAGGGTAGCCGTCTGGGCCACAAGGTTGTCCTGGGCTCTGGGGAAGGGCTGACCCAGGCCGGCTGTAAGAAGCTAGCTGTTGGGAAGTCAGATTTATTTATGTAGTTTCTGCAGTACTGGGAATGAGCTCAGGGCTGTGCATACTAGGCAAGTGAGTCACCCCTGCAGCCAGGAGTTCACTTTAGAGCCTTCTTCTCAGCCCAGATTTTTTTTTTTGGGGTCCGGTCATGGGGCCTGAACTCTGGGCCTGGAGGCTGTCCCTCAGCTCTTCAGCTCAAGGCTAGCACTCTACCACTTGAGCCACAGCGTCACTTCCGGCTTTTTTCTTTTTGCTTATGTGGTGCTGAGGAATCAAACCCAGAGCCTCAGGCATGCATGCAAGCGCTCTACCACTAAGCCACCTTCCCAGTCCTTATTTATTTTTGTTGGTCATGGGGCTTGAACTCTGAGCCTGGGCGCTGTCGGATCTTCAGCTCAAGGCTAGCGCTCTACCACTTGAGCCACAGCGCCACTTCCGGCTTTCTTTTTGCTTATGTGGTGCTGGGGAATCGAACCCAGGGCCTTTGGTATGCAAGGCATGTGCTCTACCACTGAGCCACCTTCCCAGCCCCTCAGCCCAGATTTTCTTGTGAGCCTAAAGTGGGTTGCTCTGAAATTTCCCCCTCAGCACGGCTGCAGAGTTGAAAAATCAGACGCATTAGAAGGGAAAAAGAATGGGCTGGAAGGTGGCTAAGTGGTAGAGTGCTTGCCTTGCATGCATGAGGCCCTGGATTCGATTCCTTAGCACCACATAAGCAGAGCGCTAGCCTTGAACTAAAGAGCTGTGGCCCAGAGTTCAGGCCCTGCAACCAACCAACCAACCAACAAATAAATAAGTAAATAAATAAATGGGAAAGAAGTGAAGCCGGGCACCAGTGGCTCACGCCTCTAATCCTAGCTACTCAGGAGGCTGAGATCCAAAGCAAGCCCAAGCAGAAAAGTCTGTGAGACTCTTATCTTCAATTAACCATCAGAAAACCAAAAGTTTTAGGCTGTGGCACAAGTAGAGTGCTAGTCTTGAGTTGAAGAGCTCAGGGACAGCATCTAGGTCGAGTTCAAGCCCCACAACCGACCAAAAAATGAAAAATAAAAAAGGAAAGAAGAAAGCTGGGTGCCAGTGGCTTACAACTCTAATTCTAGACACTAAGGAGGCTGAGTTCTAAGGATCACAGTTCAAAGCCAGCCTGGCAGGAAAATCTACCACTCTTTTTTCCAGTTAAGTAGCAAAAACCTGGGCTGGGAAGGTGGCTCAGTGGTAGAGCACTTGCCTTGCATGCCTGAGGCCCTGGGTTCAATTCCTCAGCACCACATAAGCAAAAAGAAAAAAGCCGGAAGTGGCGCTGTGGCTCAAGTGGTAGAGTGTTAGCCTTGAGCTGAAGAGCTGAGGGACAGCGCCCAGGCTGAGTTCAGGCCCCACAACAGGATCAAAAAAAAAAAGTAGCAAAAACCTGGAAATGAAGCTGTGGCTCAAGCAGTAGAGCACTATCTTTGAGTTAAAAAGCTAAGGGACAGTGCTGGGATCAAATTCAAGCCCGAGTACTGGCATACACCCAAAATGTTCTGTTATGTCACCCTAGCCCAGCCCTGTCTAGCCAAAGAAGACCTGAAAACAATGAGGTGCTTTATAATACCTACTACCATGACTCTAATACCCAACTCCGTGAAAAAAAAGGAAAGGAAAACTCCAAGTGTTAAAGATGTAGAGAAGGAGTAACCCCTACATGCTGGCTGCTGAAAACTGTAAGATGGTACAGACACTCTAGTAGTTGGGTGGCTCCTAAGAAAGCTAAAACAAATGATCTTGCAACTTCATTCCTGACACACACCCAAAATAACAGAGAACACGTATTTACATTACACTAAGTCAAAGAAGCCAAACATAGGGGTCACATACAATTCCATTTATGTGAAATATCCAGATTAGGTAACCCCAGAGACAAATGATAGGTGGGAAGATTGGTGGTGGCAAGGAGAAAACCCCAAACCCAGATCACACTCATCTAGGCTGGGAGAATCCAGAAACAATGCCAGGAAACCACGTTTATAAAAACCCTGCTACTGAGCCATGCTCAGAGAAACTGCTGCAACCCCAACTGAGAACAACTTTCTTTACTAATAAAGGGACTAATAGGCAATTCACACCTATTTTTGCTTCTCTTCTCGACAACAAACTAGAGCTAATAAAGCTGAGGTGTTCTCCGGGTTTCTGCGAAGCTATCTCTGCAGAGTGAGGGAAGATGGAAGGTTGTACACACAATATTGCACTGGTATCTCTTCTCCAAGGAGACAGTGGAGACAAGCTGAACTCGTGTTCCCCACACAGGAAAGAAGTGCTAGTCTGGCAGAGCTTCCCAGGATGGCTGGTGAGAGCCCTAAAATGAAGCTCCTCTGGCTGTGGCTGGCATCTGTACTTTTTTTTGCCCATTATAAATTATGTTTAAAAGCTGCATCTCCCTCTTGTGTTCATTAGGTGAGATTCTGCCTGACACATGTGGTATCCTGTCTCCTGGAGGGTGAAAGCTTCCTCTCTTCTTAACCCTGATGAGGATGAAATCTTGAACTGTAGACACCATGGCTATTTCCAGGACATTTAAACGCTGAGTCCTTATGTGAGGACAAATGGGCATCTAGTTCTAGAGGCGTCAGTCTATCACAGTGGAGCATCTCACACAACACACAACAGCAGACCAATACAAAGAAAAGGTGTCTTCTTTCTGGATAGTCACCGATTGGGAACTCACTAAGGCATTAGAGCTGTGGCTTCTAGATGAGGCTAGAATGAAGCTTTTGCTGGTGTGAGAGTCACTCCTGGCATTCCACCCTCCTTCTGGGATGGCTGCAGAGAAGCCCATCCAGGCTACCCAGAGGCTGTGCAAAGAGTGCTTGGTTCTGCACATGGGGGCTTCAAACAGGTAAAGGAAGCCCTGGGAGCATCTGGCCTGACAGCACAGCAGCCCACAGCCAGGCACGCATAGAAACACATGCTAGCAGCCTTGCCATCACATGCTAACAGCCACCGTCCAACGAAGGGCCTAGTCCTGTCCTTTCAGCAATGCAGTTGCTAGGGGGTCATTCCTAAGCCCTGGGCAGATGGCCACTGTCTCACAATGGCCTTTTCCATAGTGGTCTGCTTTATGTTCATCAACAAAGGAAGGCCCAACTCCAAAACCTAACACTTCTCTTGTTTACCAGGTCTCAGTTCACTTCCAGGTGTGAGAATGAGTCTCTTTACCTTGCCTACCCTCATCTGTTCTGAGGACAGAAAGGTCTGGTATGTCCAGGCTGGTGGCAAAGGCTGCATTTCCGGGGCTTCTTTGTTGTGGATCCCACATCTGAGGAATTGGCTCTGGCTCTTTTGCTCCTGGCCTCTGGCCCCTGAGTTTTTCCTCTGCCTCCTGGCCAGGGTGGAGCTGCAAAAGTCCCTGTGGGAAGAAGTGGTCAAAACTGACTTTAAAAATGACTCCTTGTGCTGGTGGCTCATGCCTATAATCCTAGCTACTTAGGAGGCTGAGATCTGAGGATTGTAGTGGTTCAAAGCCAGCCCAGGCAGGAAAAGTCCATGAGACTTTGTTCTCCAATAAAACAACAGAAAACCAGAAGTGGCGCTGTGGCTCTAGTGTAGAGAGCTAGCCTGGAGCTGAAGAGTGCAGGGGCAGCGCCCAGGCCCAGAGTTCAAACCCTATGACACACACACACACACAGTGACACACACAGTGACACACACAGTGACACACACAGTGACACACACAGTGACACACACAGTGACACACACACACACACACACACACACACACACAGTGGCTCTAGTGTAGAGAGCACAGTGACACACACACACACACACACACACACACACACACAGTGGCTCTAGTGTAGAGAGCTAGCCTGGAGCTGAAGAGTGCAGGGGCAGCGCCCAGGCCTTGTGCTTTCTAGGTAGGTGCTTTACTACTCAAGCCACACTTCCAGGCTACAGAAAGGGTATTTGCCATAGTGCTGGGCACAACTGAGCTCCCCAACTATCACCAGCTGTTTTTTTTTTTTCTTTGCTAGTCTTGGGGCTTGACTTCAGGACCTGGGCACTGTCTTTGAGCTTCTTTGGCTCAAGGCTAGCACTCTACCACTTGAGCCACAGCACCACTTCTGGCTTTTTCTGTTTATGTGGTACTGAGGAATCAAACCCAGGGCTTCACGCATGCGAGGCAAGCACTCTACCACTAAACCACACTCCCAGCCTAACATCTGTTCTTTTTTTTTGTTGGTCATGGGGCTTGAATTCTTTGGGTGCTGTTCCTAAGCTCCTCAGCTCAAGATGAGTGCTCTATCACTTAAGCCACAGCGCCACTTCTGGTTTTCTAACGGTTAATTGAAGATAAAAGTCTCAGACTTGCCTGCCCCAGCTGGCTTTGAACCTCAATCCTCAGATCTCAGCTTCCTGAGCAGCTAGTATTACAGGTGTGAGCCACCAGCGCCCGGCTAGTAGCTGTTCTTTATTTTTGGAAAAGTGTGGTTCCTTACCTCACTGGTCAATAAGGAAATGGAGGGGCAAGGCACGACTAGCCATGCCATCCTACTGTTTGTGGTTTCTGAGATGAAGACCAGCATGGAAATCTGACCAAGGATCTACACACCCTGTCTGTCTTACCTGGTGCCACATTCTCGTCAGCCCACTGAAAGAAGCCACATTGCTGCTCTCGTGGCTTGGCACACGTATGGAACTGGCGCCCTTTGTTGGGTCCGTCCTTCTGCACAGTCCGTGTCACGGCAGGCTGGCTGCACAGGCAGGATGTGCTGCCACCACTTCCATCACTAGGGTTACCAAAACCACCCGACTGGTTGCCTGGGCCTGGTAGGCGTCCCATGGAGCTTCCTGGAGGTCTTGAGGCAGGGGTGGGAAGTCCTCCTCCTGACTGATGGCTGCTGTCAGCCCACAGAAAAAAGTTGCAGCCACCACCACTGCACTTGTAAAACTGCCGACCCTGGTTAGGGCCCTCCTTGCGGACAGTGAGCAGCACAGCCTCCTGGCCACAGTTGCATGTCACAGAGTTGCTTTCACCAGTGCCAGTTGGTGGTTGGAGGGTCTGGTGCAGAGGCATCGAGGGTCCAGTCTGTCGGCTGCTACGGAGCTGGGAGTGGCTTTGTTGGCTACTGTCCACCCTGTTCAGGGCCTGGCTGGCCTGAAGGAGGCCAGAGGCCTGGCTTGCTCTGGGGGCACCGCCCCGTGAAAATCTCAGGTCCAAGATCTCCTTCAGGGTCTCATCACATCCACCAATGCAACCCACAAATTCTAGAGGCATGGTTGGTGGAAGGCTGCCACGCTTAAATTTTAACTTCAACCTAGTGGGAATAGAAAATGGCAAAAGACTTATTAACCACGATATGCTAGCATCTTCCATCATCCTTATCCCCCATCATCCTTATCCCCCATGAAGCACCCTAAAATCTTCAGAAGAGTACAGATTGGGGAGCAGTACAGATGAAACCTAACACCCTAATCAACCACCCAAATCCAGACTCCTCTGAAAATTTCTACTACACCAGTGGTTCTTGAAGTATGGTTTCTGGGCTCCATAGAGGTCTGGACCCCTTTCTAGGTAAAGAAGGTCAGATTATTATTATTATTTTTGATCGGTTGTGGGGCTTGAACTCTGGGCCTGGGTGCTGTCTTTCAGCTCTTCAGCTCAAGGTGAGCGCTCTACCGCTTGAGCCACAGCACCACTTCTGGTTTTTTAGTGGTTTATTGGAGATAAAAATCTCATGGACTTTCCTGCCCGGGCTGGTTTTGAACCGTGATCCTCAGATCTCAGCCTCTTGAGTAGCTAGGATTACAGATGTGAGCCACTGGCACCCAGAGGTCAGATTATTTTTTAAGAATGCTAAGAAGTTGCACACGGGTTCCCTTATTCTTCCACATGTGCCTACTGGCATTTTTCTGAGATGACAATACTTGCAGTGGCTCAGCTGACTGCAGAGGCAGTTATGGGAAAGCTAGTCTTGCACAATGGAAACAAATGTCATTCTTCACTTTGGGAAACAGGTACTTTATTTGAAAAATCATTTTTAAAATTTGTAATATATTTGCTATCAATGGATAAATACTTTAAAATGTCCCAACTTTCATTTCAAACAGGGAATATACAGAAAAACATCATCCATGACTAGAGCTCTTTGGGGTTCTCAATGATTTGTGTATGAGAGAAGGGTCTAGGGATTGGATTTGAGAACTACTATCCTGTTAGGGCTCTAGGGGTTTTGGAGCAGCATGGCCACCAGACTTAACAATTTCTTGACCTCAAAGCTACAAGGATACTTTTTTCCTCCATGGTACTTTGCAGCTCAGAAGGGCTCCTTCCCAGATGGAGTTTCCATGAAACATAACAGGATTAGATAAGTTTCCTGGGTTGCAGCCAGCACAGCTCCTGCTCCACAGATCCTAAGAATGGCATTCCCTAGATGTTCCCCCCTTGTGATGGTTTTGTGATCTATGCCTTGAGAGACACCTGGCTCACCTGTATACAGGGGGTGGCTGACAAACCGAACACACGCTATCATCCCTGCTGGCCTCCAGCACTGAGTCAGGAAACCAAATAGCTGATCGACACTCAGGGAAACCTGTGCAGCTGAGGTAGAACCTGGAGAGTAGGGACAACCAAGGTCAGATCACAGGAATACAGGAGATACTCAGTGTTTCACCTCTATTAAGAAAACCCTTTTTTTTTTGGGGGGGGTAGTGCCAGTATTGGGGCTTGAACTCAGGGCTTTGCTCTCCCTTGGCTTTTTTTGCTTAACGGTGGCATTCTACCACATCTGCAGCCACAACTACACTTCTGGATTGTCTGCCTTGTCTGGCTTTGAATTACAATCCTCAGATCTCAGCCTCCGGAGTAGCTAGGCTTACAGGAATGAGCCACTGGCACCTAGCTTAATGCAGCATTGTGTGTGTGTGTGTGCACATGAGCGTGCATGCGTGCTGGTCTTGGGTTTTGAACTCAGGGTCTGGGTGCTATCCCTGAACCACTTTGTGATCAAGGCTAGCACTCTACCACTTGAGCCACAACACTACTTCAGGCCTTTTCTGAATAGTTTATTGAAGATAAGAGTCTCATGGACTCAGCCAGCTGAGTAGTTAGGATTACACGTGTGAGCCACCTGCATCCAGCTTTAATGCAACATTTTGAGGCAGATACCACTCTTCATGGAATCTGAATTCCCACAGCACATACTCCAGGTACTGCCCTGCTATGTTGTTAGTTCTAACACCTTAAGGACTTCCCCAAAGCAGCCTTCCTTTAATAATGACATGGACATAAAGTGACGGGGCCTTTCAGAGCTGGCTAACTCAACAGTTCTGAGTGAGGAGAGGTAGGCACAGAAGTCAGGCACTGACCCGCCACTTTTCTTGGTCTTGAGGACCATGTCCTTGTTGCACTGTGGGCACTTCCGGATGGGCTCTGGCATGGCTGGGTAGATATCCTCTTGTTGGGCCACCTCTGCCCTTTCCCCAAAGTATTGGGACAAAGCCTCGTCCAATCTGAAGAAAAGGCACAGACATCACTTAGCCAGCATCACTACAAAGGTATTACAATACTCTCTTGTTTCCATGACACCTAAGAGCCTGGAAGCAGCTTGTCAGGGAGTCACAAGGCTGATACAGATAGCAAAGGGCAGAGAGGAAATGGAGGCTCCCACTGTTCCAGGTTCCCCAGACTCCTGGCTTGCAGCTAGATAAGATATAAATAAAACTGCATTGACTGCATTCAATTCTACCTAGTATATTTCTTTTCAAAATGGGTAAGTAGTACTCTGATGGATAAAAAGAAAATCCTAAACTGTTATTTCCTACCATAAGCACAAAGACATGTGGAAGTATTTTCTCCACACCAACCATCTAGGGGATACCAGTTGGGTGTCCTCTAATTTAACTCAATTCTAATCTGGGCTCAGTCTTTAAGACTGTCCCACTTCAGAGGCTATCTGTAACCAGAATGTGACCTGTATATCTGACCAACTGGCTATAAATTGGCTTACCATAATGCCCCTTTCCCTTCAAGTTTGACTTTTTTGTATGAGCCAGTCCTGAGGCTTGAACTCAGGGCCTGAGTGCTATTCCCGAGTTTTGTTCAAGGCCAGTACTCTACTACTTGAGCCACAACTCCATTTCTGGCTTTTTGGGTAGTTAATTGGTGATGAGTCTCACTAACTGGCTTCAAACCACAGTCCTCAAACTCAGCCTCCTGAGAAGCTAGGATTATAAGTGTGAGCCATTGACACCAAGCTGTGACTGTTTTTCTGGAGCAGCTCACATAACTCAGCAAAGTCAGATGGAGAGATGCACAGGAAAAGGCATGTGAGAGGCTGAGGACCACTTGTGCCTTCCCTGGATGAGCTGTCCTCTAGGAATCTATTCAGCTATATGAAAGAGCTCAAACCCTGGGCTTTTATGGAGACTTCAATATTTAAACATGACTGATAAATCATTGATCACTGGAAATCAACTCATCCTTCAGCCCCTTCTCTTCCTAGAGATGGGGAGTTCAAACCTCTAACCATATGTTGGTTCCCCTGGCAACCAGCCTCCATACTGCAGCTCATCAGGTGTCCCTTACCCCAACCCCAACACCTCCTCCATCAGTAAGCTGATTAGTAAAGCAAAAGGACAGTATCAGTTTAAGAATTGCAAAGCTGGGTTCTGGTAGTTCTCTCCTATAATCCTAGCAACTCAGGAGGCTGAGATCTGAGGATCATGGTTCAAAGCCAGCCCAGGCAGGAAAGTCCATGAGACTCTTATCTCCAATAAACCACCAGAAAACAGGAAGTGGAGCTGTGGCTAAAGAAGACAAGTGTTCATCTTGAACTGAAGAGCTCAGGGACAGTGCTCAGTCCCTGAGTTCAAGCCCCATGACCAATCAAAAAATAAATAAATAAATAATTTTTCTAAAAATCCAAGGGTTTTAGGAGATACGTACCAGGAAAGGAAGGTTAAATATCTAGTATCAGAGTATCACAGGTAAAAACATACAAAGAATCTATCAGAACTGCTTTAAATGAATGGGACAAGAAATTTTTCTTTTCCTTTGTTGTTGTTTTTGTTTTCATCTTATTTATTCATTTATCTGTCTTTGGGAGGGTAAGTGGGGGCACATAAATGGATGGACAAAGGGTAAAAAAAATGTAGCAGTGGTATTCACCATACACTATACATGAACTATGCATCTTGTGGGCGGGGATGGGAGGTAAAAACTGGGAAAGAGCAAGGGAAAGATCTTGGACTTCAAAGCCAGCCCAGGCAGGGAAGTCCATGAAACTCTTATCTCCAATTAACCACCTGAAAACCAAAAGTGGTGCTATGGCTCAAGTGGTAGAGTGTTTACCTTGAGCTGAAGAGCTAAGGGATATCCCAGGATCAGAGTTGAAGCCTTATGACCACAACCAACAACAAAAAAAGTACTCTTTACCTGACTTATGTCATGTAACCCCTTTGTACATTACCTTTATAGTAATAATTTTTTTTAATGACTGTGACACCTAATCCAAGGCAGAATTAAAAATTTAAAGGCTAACATTTCTTTTTTCTTTTTTTTTGGGTCCGGTCATGGGGCCTGAACTCTGGGCCTGGGCGCTGTCCCTCAGCTCTTCAGCTCAAGGCTAGAACTCTACCACTTGAGCCACAGCGCCACTTCCGGCTTTTTTTTTTCTTATGTGGTGCTGAGGAATCGAACCCAGGGCCTCGAGCATGCAAGGCAAGTGCTCTACCACTGAGCCACCTTCCCAGCCCCAAGGCTAACATTTCTAAAGCTAACTACCTAGAATAATTGAAGGTGTTCTGATTACCATTATTACTATACTATTCTTACTATTTCTATACTGGCAAAAGTCTATAGAAAAGAATAAACTAAACTATCAGGGAAAACGCCAAAAAGGGAAAGCCCATGGGACTAGCCTCTCCACAACAAGGTTTCCGGTGAGAATGAGCTGGGAGGGTGCAGGTGTAGAGTAACTGCACCTCCTAATTTCTGCTGAACCACCTCAGATACTCCTACTTCTTTTAGGGAACTCTATAGCACACCTGATTTCTTAGATAAGACACGAGGTTTGGTACTTACTTCGTTGCCTTAGCCACTGCTTCAATGAAAACCTGCTTATATTTCTGCACTTGCTGCCTTAGAACCACAAATTTGTCCTTCTTGCCCTCACAGATCAACTTCAGATCAGCTTCCAGCTCAGCCCGGAGGTCAGGTTTAGACATCTCATAGCCCATGGAATCATAACCTGAAGGAAGAGAACAGTACTGTGAGCTCCTGAGTGATACGCAGGCCTCCCTGCTGTCCACTGCAAGCTCCTTCCACCCTTACCTTCCACAAGTCCCATGCCCAGGTGACCAGGGAGGAATCGCTTGTCTGAAGTGAGCCCCACATACATCCGGGCTTTGATGGTTTCAATGTGCTCTGCATGAGTGGCATCGGTACCTGGAAGTCATTTCCATTATTCTGAGATGATACAGGGAGCAGCACATGGGTACCTCTATCACCCTGAGATAATTCTTCCTGGACAGTCAATGCTGTTTCATACAGGAATCCATAAAGGAAACCTCAACTCTCCTGCTCCTTCTGCCCTATTGCTTATCACAGCCACCAATTCCAGCCTTCTAACTCCTCCTCTCTCATGAGTAGGACCATGGCTGTACCCATAATACCTCCTCTGCATCACAGCTCTATCCTAATTATTCTAAGCTCCAGCCAAAGGGACTTTTTAATATGTAGTTGTGTTACTAGGGATATGAAACCATGGACACAATGAAGCATCATTTCACAACAACTGGCCTATGTACAACAGGAAAAGTAACAGTAAGTACTGGCAAAGATGTGGAGAAACTACATGTTGCTAGAAATGTAAAATGGTGCAGGCACTTAAGAGAATAGTTTAGGGGCTGGGAAGGTAGCTCAGCGGTAGAGTGCATGCCTTGCAAGCATGAGGCCCTGGATTCGATTCCTCAGCACCACATAAACAGAAAAAACCGGAAGTGGCGCTGTGGCTCCAGTGGTAGAGCGCTGGCCTTGAGCTGAAGAGCTGAGGGACAGCGCCCAGGCCCAGAGTTCAGGCCCCACGACCGGACCAAAAAAAAAAAAAAGAGAGAGAATAGTTTACAGTTCCTCAAAAATTGGCCTAGAAAGCAAAATGGGGTGGTAGATGCTTAGAATTCCAGCACTCAGAAAGCTAAGGCAGGGCTAGGACTGTGGCCTAGTGGGAGACTGCTTGCGTAGTATGCATGAAGCCCTGGCTTCAATTCCTCAGTACCACATAAACAGAAAAAGCCAGTAGTGTTGTGGCTCAAGTAGTAGAGTGCTAGCCTTGAGCAAACAAAGCTCAGGGACGGTACCCAGGCCCTGCCAGGACCGGCAAAAAAAAAAAAGCTAGGCTATAGCAAGACTTGATCTCAAAAAACCAAAAAGGAAAACAAAAAATCTTCACCTCATAGCCTTCCTAGACCACTAGTCCTAGCAACTCTTTCACAGACTTAGTTGTATATTCTTTTACTTTTTGTGAAGTTGGTAGTGTAAAACTTAGGTGCTCAACCACTTAAGTCAAACAAATTCCTAAGCCAGTGAAAAACTGCTTGTTTACATGATTGATTAATTCATTCACTTACTCACTTATTGCAGTACTAAGGGGTGTTTTTGCCTCGGGCTTGAACTCAGGGCCTGGGTACTCTCCAGAGATTTTTTAATTCAAGGCTAGCACTTTTTTTGTTGTAGTTCAGTAGTGGGGCTTGAACTCTGGGCATGGGTGCTGTCCCTCAGCTCTTCAGCTTAAGGCTAGCACTCTACCACTTGAGTCACAGCACCACTTCCAGCTTTTTCTGCTTATGTGATGCTAAGGGCCTTATGCATGCAAGGCAAGCACTCTACCACTTCCCAGCCCCTCAAGGTTAGCACTTTATCACTTGAGACACAGCTCTACTTCCAGTTTTTTGGTGGGTTGTTAGAGATAAGAGTTTCATGGACTTTCCTGACTGGGCTGGCTTTGAACTGTGATCCTTAGATCTTAGCCTCCTGAGTAACTAGGATTACAAGCATGAGCCACTAAAGCCCAGCCAGTACTGAAGTTTGAACTCAGCTTTCTTGGCTGGTGATCTAACATTTGTACAACAATTCCAACCCAGATTTATGCTGGTTAACTGAAGATGGAGTCTCATGGACTTTTCTATGCAGACTGGCTTCAAACCACAATCCTCCAGATTTCAGCCTCCTTAGAAGCTAAGATTAAATGCTGAGTCACTGTGCCCAGGTTTTCTGAGTACAATATATACTTGTGTTGCCCATCATTAAAGGCAATTAAAAAAAAAAAGGTGGCAACTGGAGGAAAGCAAGGAAGGGGTGATGTCCAAAAAATGAAATCTACTCATTACCTGACTTATGAAATGGTAACTCTTCTGTACAACACCTTAAAAACAGTAAAATTACATATTTAAAAAAAATAGCCCAGGGCTGGTAAGGTGGCTTAGTGGTAGAGTGCTTGCCTAGCATTCATGAAGCCCTGGGTTTGATTCCTCAGTACCACATAAACAGAAAAGGCCAGAAGTGGTGTTGTGTCTCAAGTGGTAGGGTGCTAGCCTTGAGCAAAAGAAGCTCAGGGACAGTGGCCAGACCCTGAGTTCAAGCCCCAGGACTGGCCAAAACAAAACAAAAAAGTAGCTCAGTAATCCCACTCCTAGGTACACACCCAAGATCAACAAAAACATACTCCTATACAAACACACAAGACTGTTCATAACAGCATTGTTTTGAACAGATCAAAAGTATAAATAATACAAAAGTCTATCAACTGGTGAATGATGGGCTGGAGGTGCAACTCAGTGGTAGATCACTTGCCCAGCCCACATAAAGCTCATGTTCCATCTCTACCATTGTACCACAAAAACAACAAAACCCCCACACTGGCTAAGGTAAATTCTTAACTAGGAGGTATGGCTCAAATGGTTAAGCACCAGCTGTGAGTCAAAAATCCAAATAAGAATGTGAGGACTTGATTTCAAAACCCAGTAATAGCACAAAAGAAAAAGAGGGGCCAGGCACTGGTGGCTCATGCCTATAATCCTAGCTACCCAGGATCACAGTTCAAAGCCGGCTCAGGCAGGAAAGTCTGTGAGACTCTTACCTCTAATTAACCATCAGAAAACTGGAGTGGCATAGTGGCTCAAGTGGTAGAGCGCTAGCCGTGAGCTGAAGAGCTCAGGGATAGCCCCAGGGTTCAAGGCCCAAGACCGACCAAAAAAAAAAAAGAAGAAAAAGAGAAAGGGGGGAGGGGGAGAAGGAGAGATGGGAATGTATCACCTGCACTGAGGAGACAGTGGCTGTCACACAGTACATGCTGAGAGCCACAAGCTCCACATGAGCTACTGACCGATGCCATGCTTCTCCATGAGGGCAATGAGGTCAGCTTCAGTAAGCAGCTGGGGCGGGCTTGTCTCTCCATCCACCATCTCCACAGTACTGGGCTGAAAGCAGGAGCCTTGCTCATAGAGAGGAAGGAGCTACAGAGAGCAGGAAGTGCAAGGGTCAGATGGTTCTATCATCAAACTCAGTCCATTCCTGCTCCATCAGAAGGTATAGGGCTGGAGCATGAATACCTCCCTTTCCCATCTCCTTATCACCTTGTCACTCCAGTGATCATATGGATATACATCCAGGTAGTTTCGGGCCAGGATTATGAGGCCATGGGCCACAAAGCGTTCCTGAGCAATGTCAATCTCCACAGTGGTTTCCTGTCCCTGAGCATCCTGGGAGCAGCAAGCCAGAAAATGGCGAACAATGAACTCATACAATCTTCGTTCATCTCCCTGGAGAAAAGGAAAGAAGTCTGAAACCCCTAGAACTGTACATTTCAAGGTCAGTAGTACCAGTAAACTAGAGTTTCAACCCTGCACAAAACAGGCCAACATGAGTTCAGGCAGGTCTTTGGGAAGATGATTTGTTTTGGCTGACATACCTTACTACTCTGTAATCAGGCAAAGGTGATCTAAATAAGGGAGATATAGTCTCCTCCAGCCTGGAAAGTGGCTCTTTGATGTGAATTCAAACAGAAATGAGATAAAAAACAAGAGACTCCCTAAACATAAGACTCATAGGGAAAGACTGCATCTCCATGCATGTACTACAGCAATGACTTCGTATCAATAAGAAAGGATTAGTGAAGTTCCTTGCAAAAGCCCAAGAAACATTTATACTCATACATAGTAATTCTCACTCTAAGAACTGATTCAAAGGAAAAAGATGTATGGAAATATTTATGTGGGGGCTGGGAAGGTGGCTCAGTGATAGAGTGCTTGCCTTGCATGCCAGAGGCCCTGGGTTCGATTCCTCAGCACCACATAAGCAGAAAGAAAAAAGCCGGAAGTGGTGCTGGGTCTCAAGTGGTAGAGCACTAGCCTTGAGCTGAAGAGCTGAGGGACAGCACCCAGGCCCAGAGTTCAGGCCCACAACCGGACCCAAAAAAAAAAAAAAAAAAGAAATATTTATGTGTATACTATATGTTAGCTACAGTATATTACATACAGATAGGATGGAGATGATCTTTTATTTTTAATTGTGAAAATACTGTGCAGAGGGGTTACAATTACATGGGAAAGATAATGAGTACATTTCTTATCAAGCATTGTAGCCTCCTCCTTTGTTTCCCCTTCCCATCCTCCCCCACACCCCCCAATCCTCCCTGCTCCCTCCCCTCCCCCCAGGATGGAGATAATCTTACAAAAACAGATTTGGCAAAATATGATTAACAATTGTCATTTATCATACTTGGCAGTGAACTCTCAATCCTCCTACCCCAGGGATCCTAACTGCTAGAATTGCAAATATAATCAGGACTGTAATCCACCATAACTGTGGATGTGGCTCAAATAGCAGAGTGCATACCTAGTTAACAGCATACCTGGCTAGCAAGCATGAGCAAGCTCAAGGCCAAGTTCAAATACTAGTACTGCACAAATAAAATAACAACCAAGTTAAGTATATAATGGCTGGGTGAGGTTAGAATTTTGAGATTATATGCATGTGTTGAAAAATATGGTTTGGCCAACTAGACTGACTTGAGCTACATACACAGTGACACTCTGTCTCAAAGAATAGGAGAAGAAAAAAAAATTGTGGTTCTGGTGCTTGTTTGCCAAGTACCAGGCCCTGAGTTCAAACCTTACTACTGTCAAAAAAAAAAAAAAAAAGGACAAACAAAAGACATGGTTCTGAGTAGGAGATATAGCTTTCAAAACAGAAAAAAGACTTTTAGTTAAAACTCTTAGCTACAGACTTCAGACAAGCATAAACAGCTGCTGCCCTTGTGGTACTCATCCCCCAGCTGAGGAAATGGCTAAAGCACTGAAACTTCCTGGCAGAGTTGGAAACCTTGTGGTGATTGAAGGCTACAAGGCTTCGGAAATGGAAGGAAGGCTTCAAGGCTTGCTGTGGGACTGACAGAGGAAGGTGAGTTGCTTTGTCTGAATGAGGGACCAATTAAGTGGAGTTCACCAAATACGGCCAACCATGGGGGGTCTTTATGAAAGCCAGGTATAAACTGGAATTTTTTTTTTTGTTGTTGGTTGTAAGGCTTGAACTCTGAGCCTAGGCATTGTCCCTGAGCTTTTCAGCTCAAGGTGAGTACTCTACCACTTGAGCCACAGCTCCACTTCTGGTTTTCTGGTGGTTAATTGAAGATAAGAGTCTGGGGGGAGAGGGGGGATGGGAAAGGATGGGAAGGGGAAAAAAAGGAGGCAACAATGCTTGATACCTTGCCCATGTAATTGTAACCCCTCTGTACGGTATTTTCACAATAAAATTTTTTTTTTAAAAAAGTCTCACACACTTTCCTGCCCAAGCTGCTTTGAACCATGATCCTCAGATCTCAGCCTCCTGAGCAGCTAGGATTACAGGTGTGAGCCACCTGCGCTGGCTAAAATTTTATTTTATTTATTTACTTTTTGGTGCCCATCCTGGGGCTTGAACTGAGGGCCTGAGCAATGTTCTTGACCTTTTTTGCTCAAGACTAGTGCTCTACCACTTGAACCACAGATCCATTTCAGAAATCAGGTTTTTGGTGGTCCAAGTTAAGTGTTTTATGAAGTTTCACGGCCAGGTTAGCTTTGAACCGTGATCCTCAGATCTTAGCCTCCTGAGTAGCTAGGCTTACAGGCATGAGCTGGCTTTGGAATAAAATTTCAATACTGACCTTTTTCTTGACACAAAAGAAATATTTCAGGGGACTGGGAAGGTGGCTCAGTGGTAGAGTGCTTGTCTTGCATGCATGAGGCCCTCAGTACCACATAAGCAGAAAAAGCTGGAAGTGGCGCTGTGCCTCAAGTGGTAGAGCGCTAGCCTTGAGCTGAAGAGCTGAGGGACAGCGCCCAGACCCAGAGTTCAGGCCCCATGACCAAAAAAAAAAAAAATTTCAGTATTATTTATTTAAATCAGAAAACATTTAGACCAGATTTAAATCTGCTCCTGGTTCCAGCAGGCCTCACATCCAGAGAAACAAACCTGTAAGTTGCTGGTGTATTTGGTGGGGTGAATAGGAGGATGAGCTTGGTCAGATTTGTTCCCATTGCGTGGGTTGGGGCCACCCCGCTCCAGAATGCTTTGGGCAAAGGCCCCCCAGTGTGGATCAGAAGTCTGCTGTTCTACCAATGCCATCAGGTTTAAGTCTTTGGGAAAAATGTTTGTTTCTGTTCGGGGATAGCTGATGTACCTAAAAGAGAGGCAAATGAGAGAAAATCACTAGGCTCCTTCCTAGGTTCTGTTATAACTCAAATTCCCAGGTAGTACCTGCAGTCACCCATCTGCTGCTGCTAACTCAACTGAAAACCACCTGTCCCAGGCAGAGAAAAGGTCATACGTGGAAGCCCTTTGAAAATAAGGAACAGTAGGCCCTTCTGTTAGGACAAATGAGATGGGAAAAGGAAAGCAAAATGCAGGATAAAAGCGCAAAATTCTGCATCAGCCTCATGGCCTGGGGCATATCACTGGCATCCCTACGTTCGTCTGACATAAAGACTGTCATACATTAGCTCATTGGCCGGTTTTCACAACATATACTCTTATAATTTTTTTTTCTTTGTCGGTCGTGGGGCTTGAACTCTGGGCCTGGGCGCTGTCCTTCAGCTCTTCAGCTCAAGGCTAGCGCTCTACCACTTGAGCTACAGAGCCACTTCCGGTTTTCTGGTGTTTTATGGGAGATAGGAATCTCACGGTCTCTCCTGCCCGGGCTGGCTTTGAATCGCGATCCTCAGATCTCAGCCTCCTGAGTAGCTAGGATTACAAGCGTGAGCCACCAGCGCCAGGCTTTATAATTTTTCTTAAAGCATCCAAAAAACATGCTGTCTAACAAAGCTGTTAACATGGACTCTACATTGTATGTATGTGTTAGTACTAGGGCTTAAATTAAGGGCCCAGGCACTGTCCCTTAGCTTTTGGGCTCAAAGCTGGTGTTGCACCACTTGAATCACAGCTCTACTTCTGATTTTTTGGTGGTTAATCGGAGATAAGAATCATATGGAGGGGGGAGGAGGAGTAAGGAGGTGGGAAGGGAAGGGACAGTAGGGGAAAAACAAAGGAGGTAACAATGCTGGATAGGAAATGCACTCATTACCTTACTCATGTTACTCAAGTAACTGTAACCCCTCTGTACAATATTTTTACAATAAAAAACATACTAAAAAAAAAAAAGAATCTTATGGACTTTCCTGCCCTGGCTGGCCTTGAACTGTGATCTCGGCTTCCTGAGTACCTACAATTATAGGCATGAGCCACTGGTGCCAGAATATGTAATTTTAAATTTTCTATTGGCTTCTTAACGATGATTCTCACAAGCAAACAACTAAGATGCCATCTGCTGTCTGTACTCCCAGGAGCCAAGGGAAGAGGTCTTGAGGGGTTAAGAGTTTTGGGGAACGGGGGCTGGTGGCTCATGTCTGTAAACCTAGCTACTAAGGAGGCTCAGATCTGAGGACCATGGTTCAAAGCCAGCCTGGGCAGGAAAGTCCATGAGACTCTTATCTCTAATAAACCAACAGAAAAAACGGAAGTGGCACTGTGGCTCAAGTGGTAGAGAGCTAGCCTTGAGCTGCAGAGCTCAGGAACAGCGCCCAGGCCCCAGAGTTCAAGCCCCACGACTAACAAAAAAAAAAAAAAGTTTTGGGGGTTGGAGATGTAGTTCAATGGTAGCATGCTGGCTTGTCATATGCAAGGCCTTGGATTCAAGTACCAGCGATTTTTCTCTGGGCTCTTATAGCTCTATTTCTTCTTTTCCCTCCCTCCCTCCCTCCCTCGTGTGTGTGTGTGTGTGTGTGTGTGTGTGTGTGTGTGTGTGTGTGTGTGTGTGTGTGTGTGTGTGTACACCTTGGACCCTAATTTGGCTTTTTTGCTCAAGGCTTGTCTTCTACCACTTGAGCCATTCCCATGCTTTATTTCAAAAGCTATTTTATATCCTAATAAAGATGCACTGAATTCTACTGCCAGATCCCAATTATTTACCCTTGAGTATAGAGCTTTTCAGCAATCCGCATGGTTTCTTTAGCATTTATTCTCAACTTGCGAGAAGCCAGCTTCTCCAGCTCCTGTTAAGAAGATAAACAGGCATTTTTACAATGCAGTATGAGTTGGTAGGACACGACTACCTAACCATCTTCAGGCAGGCCTAACCATCATCATGCCAGCTGTGGCATTCACAAGATGAGAAGAATGGCAGATCTCAGACAGTGGTTTTCAGACAATCATACTCAGCTGGAAGAAAACCATTAGCAAATTTATGGCCCCAAACACTGGGGAATGATGTGATATAATAGGACCGGGAGAGAGGTTAAAACCTTTTCTTTTTTTTTTGGCTGGTCCCAGGCCTTTAACTCAGGGCCTAGGCTCTGTCCCTGAGCCTCTCTGTGCTCAAGGCTAGCGCTCTACCACTTGAGCCACAGCGCCACTTCCGGCTTTTCTGCTTATGTGGTACTGAGGAATTGAACCCAAGGCTTCATGTATGCTAGGGAAGCACTCTATACCATTAAGCCACATTCCCAGCCCTCTTTTTTTTTCCGACAAGGTTTCACTACATAGCCCTTTATCGTTAGGATTACAGGCATGAGCTACTAGAACCTGGCTTGCATTATTGTTCTTGGTTATGAAATCTGCAACTTTTTTTTTTTGTGGGAGACTTATCGTAGGAATTAAACTCAAGCCTTGAGCTTAGTAACAAGGTATACTTCCACTTGAGCCATGTTCCCAGCCCTTCTTTTGCTTTATTTTTCAGATAGGGTCTTTTCTACTCAGGCTGATCTTAGAGACTGAGATTTCCACCTCCAAAGTAGCTGGAATTTCAGGTGTCAGCCACCAAGCCAACTGACATTTTTTTGTTTGTTCTGATCTTCAGGCTTGAACTCAAGGCCTGGACACTATCTTTGAGAGTTATGCTCAAGGCTAGTGCTCTACCACTTGAGCCACAGCTCCACTTCCAGCTTTTTTTTTTTTGCCAGTCCTGGGGCTTGAACTCAGGGCCTGGGCATTGTTCCTGAGCTTCTTTTGCTCAAGGCCAGCACTCTACCACTTGAGACACAGTGTCACTTCTGGATTTTTCTGTTTCTGTGGTACTGAGGAATAGAACCCAGGGCTTCATGAATGCCAGGAAGCACTCTACCACTAAGCCACATTCCCAGCCCCCTTCCCCACACCTTTTTTTTTTTTAAGTTAATTGGACCTATGTCTTACAGGCTGGGCTGCCTTCGAACTGTGATCTTAAGAACTCAGCCTAGGGGCTGGGAAGGTGGCTCAGTGGTAGAGTGCTTGCCTTGCATGCCTGAGGCCCTGGGTTCAATTCCTCAGCACCACATAAGAAAAAAGCTGGAAGTGGCGCTGTGGCTCAAGTGGTAGAGCACTAGCCTTAAGCTGAAGAGCTGAGGGACAGCGCCCAGGCCCAGAGTTCAGGCCCCACGACTGGACCAAAAAAAAAAAGATCTCAGCCTCCTGAGTAACTAGGCTTACAGGCATCAGTCACCAATGCCTGGCTAAAGTTTACATTTTTGTTTTTGTTGTTTTGTTTTTGTTTTTTTTGGTTGGCCGTGGGGCTTGAACTCTGGGCCTGGGCGCTGTCCCTCAGCTCTTCAGCTCAAGGCCAGCGCTCTACCACTTGAGCTACAGCGCCACTTCCGGTTTTCTAGTGGTTTATTGGAGATAGGAGTCTCACGGTCTCTCCTGCCCAGGCTGGCTTTCAACCGCGATCCTCAGATCTCAGCCTCCTGAGTAGCTAGGATTACAGGCGTGAGCCACCAGCGCCCGGCTGAAGTTTACATTTTTAACAACCAGCATATTGACACTAATGTAGACAGTCTGAGAACCACCCTTTGGGAACTTCTCAAGTCCTGGAATATTCCCCTGGGTAATGAAAAGTATCCTTTGAGGCCTTCTAGGGCATAACCAGATGTTCTTCTCTGTTGACTATATACCAAACATATTTTAACCCATGAGAAAAAAACAAACAAACCACTTATGTTGAGCAGGAAGTGTAGCTTAGTGTTAAGAATGCTTGCCTAGCAAATAATTACCTAAAAACAGGCTATTTCAATTGTAATATACGTGTAAGTATGGGAAGAGAAGATATTAAAATCTTAGTAATTATGTAAAGAAGGAAAGATTATGGAATTTCCCCCCCAAATCTTACATAATGTAGTTATACTGCCTTTGTTTTGTTTTTTAATTTTAATTTTTTGTGAACATACTGTACAGAGGGGTTACAATTACATGGGCAAGATAATGAGTACATTTCTTATCAAGCATTGCAGCCTTTGTTAACGTGAAGAATAATAAAGTATTAAGGAGGCAAGCAGGCCTGGGTTGGTCTTAGGTGCCTTGATGTGTGTGCTTACAATGAGTGGTCTTCCTTGACTGGGTGGGACTCCACCACAAAGTAGAACCCAGTAATGCGCTTAAGCACCTGGAACATACCACAGTATCCAAAGCTTGAGGCCTCCACTTGCTCTTTGGCTTAGACTTTACCTCTACCACAGTTGCCCTGGGATCCTAGAAAATCAAGAAAGCAAAGCCCCATTAACTGAGGGTGTTGTCACTTTCAGTGAGCCTGCCTCAGCTCCTGCTCATCATTCCAGATAACATGCAGCACAGCCAAGGAGAGTGATGACATGTCACTTGCAGCTGGCCAGCATCATACACACATGCACACAAATCGGGATAATGTAGAGTTAGAAATAGGAAAAAGCAGCTGGGTGCTGGTAGCTCATGCTTGTAATCCTAGCAATTCAGGAGACTGAGATCTAAGGATCACTGTTCACTTTCCAACCAGGACAGGAAAAGTCCATGAGACTCTTATCTCCAATTAACCACCAGAAAACTGGGCATGGCTCAAAGTGGTAGACCCTAGCTTTGAGCAAAAAGAGCTTAGGAATAACGTCTGGGCCCTGAGTTCAAGCCTCATGACCATAAAAATAAAAGGAAAGTCGGGCACCTGAAGAGCTAAGGGACAGTGTCTAGGCCGAGTTCAAGCCCCACAACCAACAAAAAAAAGGAAAAATTATATAATACAATAGCAATCTTAAAATCAATGTCATAGTTTTAAGTGAACAAGGAACTTGGTTTAAGTGATTTGTTAATGAGAATACTTGCAGGTCACAATCCAGGTTACATCTTCCCAACCTACTGGAGACCAGCTATTCCTTTCAAGTTCAGAGTAAGCGTGCTCCATATTCTCTGTAGCTGTAGCACTAGGAATTGGACCCAGGGCCTCAGACTATGTCTTGAGTTATGCTCCAATTCCTTTTGTTTATTGTACTGTTTCTGAGACAGGTTCTCTCCAATTTTGCCTAGTCTTTTTTCTTTCTTTCTTTTTTGTCAGTCATGGGGCTTAACTCTGGGCCTGGGTGTTGTTCCTGAGCTCTTCAAGGCTAATGCTCTATCACTTGAGCCACAGTGCCACTTTCAGTTTTCTGGTGATTTATTGGAGATAAGAGTCTCAAGGGCTTTCCTCCCCGGTCTGGCTTTGAACCGTGATCCTCAGATCTTAGCCTCCTGAGTAACTAGGATTATAGGAATGAACCACCACCGATGCCTGGCTAGCCTAGTCTTGAATTCTTGTTTCTGTTTCTTGTGTAGCTGAGATTATAGGTATGAGTCACCATGCCTGGATCACCTTTTTTAGATAAAAAGTACCATGTGCAAAGGCTATAGGGGTATTGAGTTAAAGATGAATGGTGAACAAATGGGGTGACTCTTGGAAGATAATGGAGCTTGCAAAAAGAATATAGTTACATTGGTATCCAATTTGGTGGCTAGTGCTTTGCCATTTATTGGCGCTCATGTGTCTCTGAACAAGTTCTTTCGCTAGCTTCCTTCTCTGTAGAATGGGGATAGTATTACTGCTCTTACAGGATTATTAGGATTAAGCAAAGTAACATGCAACAAGAGTATGAGGGTACTTGCCTGTAATCCGAGAATTTTGGAGGCTGAGTTGGGAGGATTGTAAATCTTTGGGCACCTACTCTCGCTTTGTGTTTTTACTCATAGCTGGTGCTCTACCACTTGCATCACATCTCCATTCTATCGTTTTTTGCTGGTTAATTTGACAGAGTCTTGCTAATTTTTCTGCTCAGCTTGGCTTTGACTCATAATCCTCACATCTCAGCTTCCTGAGTAATTATGATTACAGACAGGAGTCACTAGTATCTGGCAAGATTGTAAATTTGAAGCCATCCTGGGCTATACGTCAAGTCTCTACCTCAAAAACAACAACAAAAACAAAACAAAACAACACCCCTAAAACATGTAATAAAAGTATTCTAGCTGAATAGTTGTTATTCCTCTTACCAAAGTAGTAACAAACATGCTAGGAACATACCATGAACTACCCACTTTGAGCTCTCTGATATTACTTAAGCACCACTGTGCGCAGCTCCCTGTTAAAGCACACAAGCTAATACTGGATATAGGAAATAGATCACAAAGTGGACAATTTAAGGGTCAGGAGCATAAAGTGGGATTCCAGCCCTGCTGCTGACTGTCCTATGGTTTGAGCCTCATGGCTTTTCACATTCCTTTATCATCTATTTGTGCGGGTACCAGGGCTTGAACTGAAGGCCTGACAATCTTGCTTACTGCTGGTGCTCTACCACTTCAGCCATGCTCTAGCTGACTTTCTGCTATTTAATTGGAGATGAAGTCTCATTCACTTTTCTGCCTAGGCTGGCTTCAAACTACAATCTTTCAGATCTCAGATTCCTACATAGGTAGATTTATAAATGAGCCATCAGCACAGGGCTTCAGTGCTGTTTTCATGAGGTTCCCAAAAAGTGATGTCCTGAGATGCAAACTTAGGACGATATAGCTCAGTGGGAAGATAGGACTGAAAAACAGCTCTGCCAAAAGAGACGGCAAGGCTTGGGAAGGGTACAGAATAGTCTTGAACCAATAAAATTGCAATGAACTCCTTACCTCCATACATAACTGATAGAGGACAAGACAAGCTGTGTGGTTAAAGAGACGATGCCTTTTCCAGTTGAATTCTACAGTACCATCTCTGTGATCATGAGTTACTATATTGGGGAGAGAGAAACAGAAAAGCTATCTCAGAGAAAATACTGTGTGACAAACAGAAAAAGGCATATTATCGTGAAAAACAAAGGACTATGAAATAGAGGGGAGTTCTGGATAAACAAGGAAATTTAAGTGGATTCTGACTATTGTAATGGAATAGGGTAAAGGGGACCAAAAACAAAACAAACAAACAACAACAAAAATATACACACATGGGGCTGGGAAGGTGGCTCAGCAGTAGAGTGTTTGCTTCACATGCATGAGGCCCTGGATTCAATTCCTCAGCACTATATAAACAGAAAAGGCCGGAAGTGGCATTGTGGCGCAAGTGGTAGAACGCTAGCCTTGAGTTGAAGAGCTGAGGGACAGTGCCTAGGCCTAGAGTTCAAGGCCCACGACCAACCCCCCCCCCAAAAAAAAATATACACACACATTTAATTAGTACAACAATCTATAGTCTACATTTTTATTCCTGGGTCTGGAGGTCCCATGTCATATACAACCCTTCTCCAATCTTACCTTTAATTCTTTTCAATTGTTATTATAAAGGTGGTATATAGAGTGGTTATAGTTTCATAAGTCAGGCTGGGAATATGATTTAGTGGTAGAGTGCTAGCCTTGAGCAAAAAAAAAAAAAAAAAAAGAAGTGGTGCTGTGGCTCAAGTGGTTAGTGTTCGCCTTGAGCTAAAGAGCTCAGGGACAGTTCCCAGGCCTTGAGTTCAAGCCCCAGGGCTGGGGGGGGTGGGGGGGTGGGGGAAAGTTATATAAGTCATGTAATGAACACATTTCTTTTTAGACAGTGTTATTCCTTCTCTCCATCTCTCCCAGTTTTTCCTTCCTATCCCACCCACAAGTTAGATAGTTCATTTTCCATTTGTTTACCCTTTGTTCCTCTATTTCTGTGCTTACCTTTGATTTTGTGAAAGATTTCTGGTACAAAAGTCTGAATGGCTTTGAACCTCTCCACCACGAATCCCAGTGTTGGGAACTGGCAGCTGCCATAGCTGATAAGCTGCTCTGCTAGCACCTCAGGAAAAATCTTCTGAAGCCGTAGGGTCTGGAACCTAGTGAAGGCCGCTCCTGGAAAATGAGTGAAGGGAGGAATGAGAAATTAATAGATGATGAAATTAGTTCTAAATGTACTACACAGGTGATGAAAAGGCATATTAGTTGCTTACCAATCCTCAGATCTAGCTCTTGCCTCACATCCACAGCATCGCTCACTCTCTGATCAGGCTCAGTGAGGTTTTCACAGGCCATCCTGACAGCACGGGGTGTAATCTCAGAGAAACGGGCTCTCAACACCTGCAGACTGGGCTTCACTACAGAACATGGTGGGAGAAGGGAGGTTGAAAATAATCAAAGTATACTTTATATATGTATGAAAATGTCATAATGAGCTCTGGTGGCTCATGTATATAATCCTAGCTACTTAGGAGGCTGAGAGCTGATGATCCTGGCTCAAAGCCAACTCAGGCAGGACAGTCCATGAGACTTTTTTTTTGGTTTTTGTTGGTCATGGGGCTTGAACTCTGGCCTGGGTGCTGTCCCTCAGCTCTTCAGCTCAAGGCTAATGTTATATAAACTAGAACCACAGCACCATTTCCAGTTTTCTGGTCATTTACTGGAGATAAAAGTTTCGGGGAGGGGTGGGGAGATGGGAAGGGGAAACAAAGGAGGAGGCAACAATGCTTGATAAGAAATGTACTCATTAGCTCTCCCATGTAATTGTAACCCCTCTGTATGGTATTTTCACAAAAAAAATAAAATAAAAAAACTTCTTATAAAAACATTAAAAAAGGGCTGGGAAGGTGGCTCAGTGGTAGAGCGCTTGCCTTGCATGCATGAGGCCCTGAGTTCGATTCCTCAGCACCACATAAGCAGAAAAAAAAAAGCCATAAGTGGCACTGTGGCTCAAGTGGCAGAGTGCTAGCCTTGAGCTGAAGAGCTGAGGGACAGCGCCCAGGCCCAGAGTTCAGGCCCCAGGACCGGACCAAAAAAAAAATTAAAAAAGAGTTTCAGGGACTTTCCTCACAGCAGCCCTAGGAAGCAAGTCCAATGAGCCTGACATTATAGATGAGGAAGCTGAGGCTCTGGAGGGTTTAATGGTTTGTTCCAGGACACAGGGGATGTGACTTGCAGATGGATTCAGGAGGGGAGCATGTGTGGAGGACCTCTGCCATAGTCACTTGTGTAGACACAGAGAAAAAAAGCTCTATTCTTAAATTAGAAAAGCTCAGCATTAGCAACTTACCAGCCTTGCACACGTGGATAATCTCAAACCCAATGTTTTCACCTTCTCTGTCACAGTCAGTCCAGATCACCAGGGCCTGGCACTGCCGTATCTCTCGTTCTAGAGTTTTCTAAAGTTAACAGGCAAAGAGCAGTGAGAACAGAATCCAGAGCAACTAGTTGACACTTCTACACTAGAGATCTGACAAGGCTTAGTGCTGTTCTTGAAGTGCTCCAGCTTTGTGAAGGAAAAAACGCACTGTTCTTACTCGCACAACTTTCCAGAAATTCAAGTGAGCAGCTAGAGGGAAAAAAAGCAACACTGCTCTTACTGGCACAACCCTCCAGATTCCAAACAGCTAGAGAACTGCAGTTTAATACAATTTCATTAATATGAAACCTACAACTCAGCTACACACTTCTACCTCCAGTGGTTCTGATTATGGGCTGGCTAAAAAAAGTTAACTGCACTAATTATGGTCCTAAGAAAGTTTCCCAGTTATCAGTGAACTGACTCTAGGTGCTAGAAACTAACAATTTACTGTCAATCAACAAGTTAGCCTACCTAGGGATGAGGTAAGGGCTAGAATAATACTTATTTCCTGGGATTTAGTAAAAGCAACTACTATTCACAAAAAAGGCTTTTAGTCCCTTGGATACTTTAATTCAAAAAGCCTCATTTATACATGGGAATAACAAATCCAAGTTCAATGTATGAAAAACAAATCGTGCAGATGGGAATTTGTGAGTGTTCCAACTTCAGTGCCATATCTTCCTACCTTGATGTCTACAAAATTGTCTGGGCAGTACTTTTCAATTTCTGCTTCAAAGAGGACAAGTGGGTTGCAGCTCTGCCTAGAAAATAAAAGCACAAAGAGCCTCAGCTTGCAATATGATGGAGAGCCTTTATAATAATAATAATAATGTTCAGTTCCAGTGTGTTGATTTGTGAACCTCCCACGAAAATAGCAAAAGGAAGCCAAGTATGTGCTTTGAGAGGCTGAGATGGGAGGATTGCTTCAGTTCAGGTTATTTGTTTTTGTTTGATTTTTGTTTTTTCCCAGTCATGGTTCTTGAACTCTGGGCCTGGGCGCTGTCCCTGAGCTCTTCAGCCCAAGGTGAGCACTCTACAACTTGAGCCACAGTGCTACTTCCAGTTTTCTGGTGGTTAATTGAAGATAAAGAGTCTCATAGACTTTTCCTGCCCGGGCTGGCTTTGAACCATGATCTTCAGATCACAGCTTCCTGAGTAGCTAGGATTACAGGTTTGAGGCACTGGTGCCCCGTGAGTTCAGGAATTTGAGGACACACTGGGCAACACCAGAGACCCAACCCTGGCCTCTCACCAAAAACAGAAAGCTGCATACCTGAAATCCCAGCACTTAAGGCTTAGGTAGACAGCAGGATTGGAAATTCAAGGTCAGCCTGGGATATATAGCAAGACCTTGTCTAAAACAACAACAACAACCACCACCACCACCCACCCCCAAATAAAAAATACATGTGTTGGAGGCATGACTCAGTGGTAGAGTGCCTGCTTCGATAAGAACAAGGCCCCAAGAAGTGGAGCTGGGGCTCAAAATGGTAGATCACTATCCTTGAGCAAAAGAGCTCAGGGACAGTGGCCAGGCCCCTGAGTTCAAGCCACATGACCAGCAAAAAATAAAAAGAACAACAAAAAGAACAAGGCCCTAAGTTCAAACTCCAGTTGTGTCAAAAATCAATCATTAACCAAGAACATTTCAACAACAGTGAAAAACAAAAACAAAAAAAAACCCAACCCAGAGGACTAAAAGCAAATTTGTGGAGTTCTATATAATCCACTGTGCACTCTGCCAAGACTTTCTAGAATCCTTTCATACCCATCTGCAAGAACACAAATGTGCAACCTGAAAAGGTCTATTTTGGGAGAACATCTAAAAGTAGTGTTTATTCCAAAGATAGTATAAAGACTTATAATCAGGGCTGGGAAGGTGGCTCAGTGGTAGAGCGCTTGCCTTGCATGCCTGAGGCCCTGGGTTCGATTCCTCAGAACCACATAAGCAAAAAGAAAAAAAAGCCGGAAGTGGCACTGTGGCTCAAGTAGTAGAGCGCTAGCCTTGAGCTGAAGAGCTGAGGGACAGTGCCCAGGCCTGGAGTTCAGGCCCCTCGACCAGACCCTCCCCGCCCCCCCCCCAAAAAAAGACTTATAATCGACCAGATAACCTTGGGTCATTTTAGTATTACTAATGACATGGTAACATCAACATGCCTGTAATACCTTTAACATTTTTCTCAACTTACTATAACTAGAAGTCCTTCACCTACAAATTGTACTCACCATTTTCGAAACTGCATCTGGAAATCATGAGCCAGCAAATGTCCAGAAACCGAGGTCATTACCATGGTAACACTCTGAATAATAACAAAATACAGGTTGTTTGTTTGTTTTTTTTGTTCAGTCATGGGGCCTGAACTCTGGACCTGGGAGCTGTCCCTCAGCAATTCAACTCAAGGCTAGCACTCTACCACTTGAGCCACAGTGCCAGTTCCAGCTTTCTTTTCTGCTTATGTGATGCTGAGGAATCAAACCAGGGCCTTATGCATGCAAGGCTAGCACTCTACCACTGAGCCACCTTCCCAGCCCCCAGGGTTTTGTTTTTGTTTTTGCCAGTCCTGGAGCTTGAACTCAAGGCCTGGGTACTGTCCCTAAGCGGCTTTTGGCTTTTGCTCAAGTCTAACAACTTTACCATTTGAGCCACAGTGCCACTTCCAGCTTTTTCTGTTTATGTGGCACTAAGGAATTGAACCCAGGGCTTCATGCATGCTAGGCAAGCACTCTTATCACTAAGCCACATTCTCAGCCAAGTTACTTCTCTTTAAGTCCAAAACTGAGACTCTTAATTCAGTAACTGAAACTTACTAGCTAGTGCTCTACCAACTGAGTTATACCGTCAACCCCAAGTTACTTTTTGTTTAGATTTTTTTTTTCAAACTGTATTTGTCTTTTCTTTTTGGTACTGGGGATCCAACCTAGGATACTGCACTTGCTAGGCAAGTGCTTTGCCACCGAGCTACATCCTAGCCCCCAAGTTATTTTTTTGGTGTGCCTATCCTAAGACTTGAACTCAGGACCTAGGCATTGTCCCTGAGCTCTTCTTGTGCTCAAGGCTAGTACTCTACTACTTGAGCCAGTGCTTCACTTCCAGCTGTTTAGCAGTTAAATGGAGATGGTCTTATGAACTCTGCTGGCTTCAAACCGTGATGCTCAAATCTTAGCCTCCTCAGTAGCTAGGATTACAGACATGAGCCACTGATGCTGGCAAAATGTGCTTTTGTGTATGTGCCAGTCCTGGGGCTTCAACTCAGGGCTTGGGAGCAGTCTCTGAGCTTCTTTTTCTTAAGGCTAGTATTCTATCACACTTGAGTCGCAGCTCCAATTCGGGCTTTTTTCGTAGTTTAGTGGAAAAAAGTCTCACAGACTTGCCTGTACAGGCTGGCTTAAAACCATGATCCCAGGGTCTTAGCCTTCTGAGTAGCTAGGGATTACAGGTGTAAGACATTGGTGTCCAGCTATAAAATTTTACAGTTATCTTTTTTATCAAATATAACTTTAAAATATATTTTACCAAATCTAACTGTAAAAAAGATAAGAGATCCGGGTGCCGGTGGCTAACACCTGTAATCCTAGCTACTCAGGAGGCTGAGATCGGAGGATTGAGGTTCAGGGCCAGCCTGGGCAGGAAAGTCCGTGAGACTCTTTTTTTTTTTTTTTTTTGGCTGGTTGTGGGGCTTGAACTTGGCCTGGGCACTGTCCCTGTGCTCTTCAGCTCAAGGCAAGCACTATACCACTTGAACCACAGAGCCACTTCTGGTTTTCTAGTGGTTTATTGGAGATAAGAGTCTGACGGATTTTCCTGCCTGGGCTGGCTTTGAACCCAGATCCTCAGATCTCAGCCTCCTGAGTAGCTAGGATTATAGGCCTGAGCCACCCGAGCCCGGCTAAGCCCATGAGACTCTTATCGCTAATGAAACATCAGACAACCAGAAATGGTGCTGTGGCTCAAGTGGTAGAGTGCTCACCCTTGAGCTGAAGAGCTCAGGGACAGTGCCCAGGCCCAGAGATCAAGCCCCCTAACTGACAAAAAAAAAAAAGATAAAAGAAGCCGGGTGCTGGTGGCTTATACCTATAATCCTAGTTACTCAGGAGTCTGAGACTGAGGATCATGATTCAATGCCAGACTGGACAGGGAAGTCCATGAGACTGTTACCTCCAATAAACCACCAGAAAACCAGAAGTAATCCTGTGGCTTAAATGGTAGAGCACTTGCCTTGAGCTGAAGAGCTCAGGGACAGTGCCCAGGCTGAGTTCAAGCCCCACAACCACCACCACCAACAACAAAAAAAGATAAAAGAGAGGAACTTACTAAAGGGAATACAAAATAACACTCCAAAAAGGGGCTAGGAAGGTGGCTTAGTGGTAGTTGTCTTGCCTGAATGAGGCCCTGCCTGGGTTCGATTCCTCAGCACCAGATAAGCAGAAAAAGCCAGAGGTGGCACTGTGGTTCAAGTGGTAGCGGGCTAGCCTTGAGCTGAAGAGCTGAGGGACAGCACCCAGGCCTAGAGTTCAGGCCCTGGGACTGAGAAAAAAAAAAGTTTGTTTGGAAGAAGCAAAGTTAACACCACCACCATTCTAATTCTAGTACTATGATGCTTTTTGTATCATATACGTTACAAAATTATCATTTATGTTACAAATTGTCAATGATATACAATCTTTAGGTTAAAAAAATGGTTACTGAAGACACTGACATATTGTAGGTATGCTGATTCTTCATTACTGTAAAACACAGCAATTTAGGAAGGAATTACAACAGGCAACTATTTGCTTTAGCTACAGCTTCAAACTCAAGGATTAGACACATGGATATGAGAGTACACTTGAGTTTTGTGATGAAAACATTTTAACACTCACCTGGCCACACAGATGATAATCAAATTCATAGATCTTATTGAATTTAGAAAGTCCTTCTCTCTATAAAGCAAACAAAAAACATAATAAATCACACCAAAAATGATACCTCAAATTACCTTGCCTATGTAATTGTAACCCCTCTGTACAGAATTTTCACACACAAAAAAAAAAGATACCTCAACATGCAGATAAGCGAATATTATAAAGGCAACATCTATTTAGTGGCCTGCTAAAACAGAATTACCAAGCAAATACTTGATAGAATCCACAGAATTTTTATGTTGGAGTGAAAACTTCAGATCTATTGATGCAACAAAACAAAACAAAAACTCCACCTCTACTGACGCCAGGCAGCCGTGGCTCATGCCTGTAATACTAGCTATGGGGGAAGCTGAGATCTGAAGCAGCCCAAATAGACAAGTCCATGAGATTCTTATCTCTAGTTACCCACAAAAAAAGCTGGAAGTGGGGCTATGGCTCAAGAGATGAGCAGAAAAGCTCAGAGACAGTGCCCAGGCCTTGAGTTCAAGCTCCAGGACTGTCACATACGCATATTCACACACGCACACACACAGTTTTGGCCACTGTAGAAAACAGTTTGGTAGTTCCCTCAAAAGTTAAACTTAGGTATATGTCTTGACAATTTTACTGCAGAAATTGCACCCCCCCCATTATAAACAAGCATTCAAACAAAAATGTATATTTGTGTGTTTAACCTTGAAAGGAATGTAATAGTAGATGTATGCCATATGGGTGGATTTCAAAAACATGCTAAGTGAAAAAAGTCTGACACAAAAGGCCATGTACTGTATGGCTCCATTCACAGAAAATGGCTGAACAGGCAAATCAACGTGGACAGAAAGCAGACTGGGGAGGGAGAGCGGTTGAGAAGGGGTGAGAGAGGGTGACTGGATGTTTATGGGGTCTCCTTTTGGAGGTTATAAAAATACCTTCTGGAACTAGACAGTGGTAATGTCTGACTAACACAATGAATTGTAAACTTTAATAGTTAAAATGAGGAAACTCATGCATTTTACCATACTCAACCATCCTCATACAATCTGTATCACCCCCCCTTCCTTCCATTGCTTCTCTTAGTTTTTGTTTTTTAATTGTTATTATAAAGATGATGCACAGAGGGGTTACATTATGTCAGGTAATGAGTACATTTCTCTCTTTCTTTTTTTTTGCCCATCCTGGGGCTTTGAACTCTGCGTCTGGACACTGTCCCCGAACTTATTTTGCTCAAGTCTAGTGCTCTACAACTCAAGCCACAGTGCCACTTCTGGCTTTTTCTGAATAGTTTGTTCAAGATAAGACTCAAAGACTTTCCTGCCTGGGCTATCTTTGAATCGTGATCCTCAGATCTCAGCCCCTGAGTAGTTAGGATTACAGGCGTGAGCCACTGGTGCTTGGGAAGTACATTTCTTTTTGGACAGTATCACTCCTTCCCTTGCTCTCTCTCAGTATGCGTCTCTTGTTTTAACTCATTGGCTCCTCTTTCCACCACACTAGACTCCTAATTTCTCATTGGTTTTGATCATGCCATACAGTATCAAAACAATGGGCTGTTTTTTGTTTTGTTTTGGTGTATGCTGGTCCTGGGGCTTCAACAGAGAGCTTGAACAAAGACGCTGTCTTTGAGCTTTTTTGTGCAAAGTAGCTCTACCACTTGAGCCACAGTTCCATTTCTAGCTTTTTTAGTAGTTAATTGGAGATAAGAGTCTCACAGGCTTTCCCACCTAGGCTGGCTTCAAACTATAATCCTCAGATCTTGGCCTCCTATGAGTAGGTTGGATTACAGGCATGAGCCATCTGCACCCAGCTTTGAACTGTTTGTTATACTGTTTCCGTGCCTAGCAAAACTTTCTAAATTCAGTCTAAATGTTTATCCAACCAGTATTTATTAAGAGTGTTCCGATTTTCACTGTATTAGGAGTTAGAATATAGAAATTAATGAAGTAGTCTTTGTTCTTTGAAGTTTAGAGTTCAAGGAGCAATGAAAGAAAGGGAAAAAATAACTGCATAATGCATTACCTAACTGGTAGGGTGTCATGACAGCTAAGGGTCCCTAGTCTAGTGCTGGAAGCATGTGAGGGTAAGCTTCCTTCAAGAAACATTTACAGAGCCCTGAAGAATGAAAGTGTAGTAGAATTTTTTTCAGGAAGCCCAGAGCCCAAGAAGTAGGCAAACTTTGGGATAGGGAGGATGTTCAGTACTGGAGAGAGGTTAAATTCTCAGCTAACACATACCCAATCTTGGCTCCACCAACCCCCTCCCCCACATGCCAGCCCCATCCTAGAGGTCTAGGGTCCCTAGGGATTATAAAGAATAGGCACTTCTGCTCCATTCTGTTTAAAATGTTCCTCTGGGCTGGGGGCAGGGCTCAAGTATTTCAGTGCCTGTTCAGCAAGCAAGGATGAGTACAAATCCCAATTACATGTGTGTGGGGGGCGGGGGTGCCCCATTTTATTATCTATTTACTGGAGAGATTCTTTTTTCTGGAAGTTTTCCCTACGCAGCTGCTGGTGATGGATTCCAGGGGCCTTCCTGGTACATGCTAGCCTAAAGCTCTACCCCTTGAGTTACACTCCCAAGTACCTAGCCCTTCCTTTTTAAAATATTGTTTCTCAGATTGCGTCCGGCTAATTTTGCCTGGCTTGCCTCAAGGTTGGGATCCTCCTGCCTCTTGTCTCCCAAGCATTCATAGCTCAACTGCACTATCCAATTCAACTTTTTTGTTTGTTTGTGTTTGGGACTGGGGATATAAACTCAAGGCCTCACCTTGGTAGGCTGGCACTCTTCCCATACTTGTCTCTCATCCCCAAATCTGACAGTGCTACCAAGAAAAGTAAGGGGCTGTGTCAGAGGATGGAGAACGGTAGGGGACGGATGAATGGAGAGAGCAAAGCTTGAATTTCAAGTTCAAGGAGTTTGGTTAGGGGTTTCCAACCAAACGGAACTTCAGGTCACGAGGCAAGAATATTAAAACAAACTAAACAAACTCCTCCAGAATCGCTCCAGACCCACAGAACAACAGCCAGTGTTCTTCAGCGCTTGGGAGTATCGAACAAGTTTGGGAACATGGCTGCGGGCAAAAATGATCAGAAGTTTTCAGAAAACTGCGGGAGATGCTCAAACTGTATTTGAAAATGCCCAGCGATTCGAGAAAGGCAGTCGAGAGGCCTATTCGCCGACCCCGAAGCGAGGCGGGTAAGGCCTCCGTGCTGTCCCGCTCCGCGGCCCTTGGGGAGCCCAGGTGCTCCGGAACACTTCTTACCCGCCTCATACGACCGTTGGACAGCAGGTCTGCAATGCCCTTGGCCGCGTCGTTCTTCTCAGCCACACAGAGGACTTTCCGAACGCCTCGGAGAGCCACTTCCATGGCGGCGCGGGACAAGACACGGCTTCCAGACCGCTGCAGCCAGGGGAGCGCGAAGCGGGAGACCGGGAAAATCATGCCTAGGCCCGGAGAGGGCAGCCGCTGCTCCCTGGGTGCCCGCGCATGTTGGGAAAGCCAAAACTAGGCTCTTCTGGTAGACACCGTAAGGGAAGTTGAGCCTTCCGGCGGTGCCCGCACTTTTGGTCACTTGCCCGTCAGGACACCAGCCTCACCCGCGCTTCTCCCCGCCGCCGCGGCCACTACGCCACCTCCACCCGCAACTCAACTTACTACTTCCGCCCGCCTTCTCGGACCACTTCCGTAAGGCGAGCTTGCCCCCCCCCCACTCCCCGCAACAACCGTGAACTACAACTCCCAGACTGCCTTGCACTTCCGGAATTCTCACCCAAGCTCGTTTCTTTCCCTTTCCCGCCCCACCACTCCTTTCCTTCAGAGCGGTTGGTTAATCAAACTTATTCTTGGCACCTCTATACTGGGTTGTCCAAGGGGCTCTCTTAAAAGCAATCTTTTTTCTCTTGCTCAGAAGTCTTTTGCTTCCGGGTCACGCGATGCTGACGATCAGGCGTCATGTGATACCAAGATGGCGGCGCCGCGGTAGCTAGCTTTTAGTTGTGGCGTTCAAGGATCCGCGACGGTTTTTCGCCTTCTGGCCGTGGGGGCGGCAACGCTTGGTTGACCCCTGCGGCGGTCCGTCGCTGGTGTTAGACAGCCGATCCGAGCCCAGGCTGTTGCGGTCGCAGTGCGTTCAGGGTAGTGTTGGTGACCTCGCTGTAGTTGCTTTCCACTGGTCGTGCCCGGCGGAAGAAGAGCAGAGCGGCCAGTCTTTTCGGTCGTCTTTGGAGTTGCTGAGAGCTCGGGAGGAGTTACACCTTTGAGGGGCTGCGGAAGTTCGAGTCCTCAGGTGTGTGAGACGCTGCCTAGGATCGCTGGGGGGGCAGAGGCCGCGAGGTTTAAGCTTCCTCCTGCAGAGCCCTGGCCGCGCCGCGTCGATCAGCCCTGCGTTCTTTCCCACTTCCTCTCAATGTTCTCTCCATACATCAGGAAATATGATCAGCGCCCCTGACGTGGTAGCCTTCACCAAAGAAGAGGAGTACGAAGAAGAGGCCTACAATGCACCAGCCCTGCCAGAGGAATACTCCGTGCCGCTCTTCCCCTTTGCCAGCCAGGGAGCCAACCCGTGGTCTAAACTGTCCGGGGCCAAGTTCTCACGGGACTTCATCCTTATTTCTGAGTTCTCTGAGCAGGTGGGACCCCAACCCTTGCTGACCATCCCCAATGACACCAAAGTTTTTGGCACTTTTGATCTCAATTACTTCTCCCTGCGGATCATGTCTGTGGATTACCAGGCTTCCTTTGTGGGCCATCCCCCTGGTTCTGCTTATCCCAAGCTGAACTTCGTGGAGGACTCCAAGGTGGTGCTGGGAGACTCCAAGGAAGGGGCCTTTGCATACGTGCACCACCTTACTCTCTACGACCTGGAGGCCCGTGGCTTTGTGAGGCCTTTTTGCATGGCTTATATTTCAGCAGACCAGCATAAAATTATGCAGCAATTCCAGGAGCTGTCAGCTGAATTTTCAAAAGCATCCGAGTGCTTGAAAACAGGCAACAGGAAGGCATTTGCTGGGGAGCTTGAAAAAAAACTCAAAGACTTGGATTACACCAGGACAGTGTTGCACACAGAAACAGAGATCCAGAAGAAAGCTAATGACAAAGGCTTTTATTCATCCCAGGCAATTGAGAAAGCCAATGAACTGGCCAGTGTGGAGAAATCCATCATTGAACATCAAGATCTGCTGAAGCAGATCCGCTCATACCCTCATCGGAAGGTGAAGGGGTCAGATAAGTTTCTGGATGAGATGGAGCATATCCAGGATCAGGCCAACCAAACATCCACTACCTCTAATCCCGATGAATCTGCTGACTCAGATCTCTATACCTGCAGACCAGCTTACACTCCAAAACTCATCAAAGCAAAGTCCACCAAGTGTTTTGACAAGAAGTTAAAGACCTTGGAGGAGCTCTGTGATACTGAATATTTCACTCAGACTCTGGCCCAGCTTAGCCACATTGAGCACATATTTAGAGGGGACTTGTGCTACCTCTTGACCAGTCAGATTGACAGAGCCCTTCTAAAACAACAGCATGTGACAAACTTTCTCTTTGAAGACTTGGTAGAAGTTGATGATAGGATAGTGGAGAAACAAGAGACTATACCCTCTCAGCCCAGTCAGGACAGGCTGCCTACCAGGACTCTGGAAGAATGCCCAATTCCTAAAGTGTTAATTAGTGTTGGTTCTTACAAGTCCAGTGTGGAGTCTGTGTTAATCAAGATGGAGCAAGAACATGGAGATGAGTACAAGGAAGTAGAGGTGACAGAATCAAGCAGTTTTGACCCCCAGGAAAACCTGGATTACCTGGATATGGATATGAAAGGTAGTATCAGCAGTGGGGAAAGCATTGAGGTTCTGGGCACAGAGAAGTCTAACTCTGTGCTGTCTAAATCTGACAGCCAGGCCAGCCTCACAGTGCCGTTGAGCCCCCAAGTGCTCCGGAGCAAAGCTGTCAGCCACAGGACCATCAGTGAGGACAGTATTGAAGTCCTGAGTACCTGCCCTTCTGAGGCCCTCATCCCGGAAGACTTTAAGGCCAGCTACCCAAGTGCCATTAATGAGGAAGAATCCTATGCAGACAGTGAAGGGGCAATCCACTTCCAAGCAAGCATCCGCCCCTCAGAGTTATGTGAGATCCAGGAGGACAGCTTGGAAAACACTCCTTCTCAAATAGATTCTTCCTGCTGTATTGGGAAGGAGATCGAAGGCCAGCTGGTGTCATTTCCCACTCCAGTCCACACACTCTCTGATGAGGATGGTGTGGTAAGCATCCCCCCACAGCGATTCAGGCAGAAGGACCAGGGGTTCCATGTAGACTTTGCAGCAGAAAACATCAATCCTCACCAAGACAACAGTTGTGAAGTGTTCCCTGCTTCTGAGTTGGACCCAAGCTGCCTTCTGGCTAGTCGTGATGTCAGTAAGACAAGCCTGGACAACTACTCAGATACCACTAGCTACGTGAGCAGTGTAGCATCAACCAGCTCAGACAAGATGCCCTTTGCTCATCCTACCAGCCTATCCTCAGAGAGACACAGAAAGAGGGCTGGCCAGAATGCCTTAAAATTCATCCGCCAGTACCCCTTTGCCCACCCGGCCATCTACTCCCTGCTCAGTGGAAGGACACTTGTGGTCCTGGGGGAAGATGAGACCATAGTCAGGAAGCTTGTGACAGCACTGTCCATCTTTGTTCCCAACCATGGCCGCTGTGCTAAGCCTGTGAAGCACTGGGTCTCCTCCCCTTTGCACATTACGGATTTTCAGAAGTGGAAGCTTATTGGCCTACAGAGGTAACTGGTTTCAGAAGGTGGGGAAGGGCCCCCAGCCAGTTAGAGGTGAGGCAGGATGGTGCCATGTACCCAGAAAAGAGGCTTGGTTTCTAGACAGGGTTCAATACCAACTCACTGTGTTACTTAGGGCAAATCACTCTCCTTTCCTTGCCTGCCAAGGAAAGGTCACAACAGTTGCCAACTTTGGGGTTTCTATGCTCAGCTGAGAGAATTCTTAGGGTGACTTTTAAATATGGGTTCTGTTGGGTGCTGGTAGATCACACCTGTAATCCTTGCTACTCAAAAGGCTGAGATCTGAGGATTGTGGGTCGAAGCCAGCTGGAGCAGGAAAGGCCATGAGATGCTTATCTCTAATTAGCCACCAGAAAGTTCTGGAAGTAGAGCTGTGGCTCAAAGTGGTAGAGGTCTATCCTTGAGCAGATAAGCTCAGGGACAGTGCCCAAGCCCTGAGTTCAAGCCCCACAACTGACAGAAAAAAAAATTCATGGGTTATTAGACTCTATTCCTAAAGATTATGATTCAATTGGTCTGGAGTAAGACATGGATTTTATCTGTTTTATTGTTATTTTGGGGAATGACTAGACTTAGGATCTTTTTTTTTCTTTTCAGTACTGGGGCTTGAATTCAGAACCTGGGCACTGTCCTTTAGCTTTTTTTGATTAAGGCAAGAGTCTCACAGGTTTTCCTGCGTACGCTAGCTTTGAGCTATGATATTTATTTATTTGAGTCCTGAAGCTTGAATGCTGGACCCGGATGCTGTCCTTAAGCTCTTCAACACAAGGCAAGTGCTCTACCACTTGAGCCAAGTGCCCCTTTGAGCTATGATCTTTAGATCTGTCTCTTGAGTAGCTAGGATTACAGGTGTGAGCCACCTGTGCCCGGCTCACATTCTGACTTTCAAATTCATACCAAAGTATGATGAGGATATCACGGTGAGAGAGACAAGAGAGTTCCAGTAGCTTCAACTCTGCTGCTGTTAGCTCTAGAAGTCAGTTTTAGAGAGTGGGTACAAGTAGAGTCAGTGTTGTCTCTGCTCCCCACTTCTGCTTTAATAAGCTTTATCTTTCCAAATACTGTTTCACAGGTCTAGTGTGGGCCTCTCCCAACATGTTGCCCTGTGTTCAGGTCCCTTAGTTTTGACCCTTAGTTTCCTCCTCTGCACCTGCTTTGCTTATTTGTAAAACATGTTCTGTAGTAGCTTGTCCATGAGTTACTTCTCACAGAGGCAGAAAAGGTATGGGGAATTGCTTCCATACTGCAGCTTAGCAGCCATTTGTTCTGACCTGATCTTTTGTGGGTCCCTATATCACTAAGGTCACCATCTCCCATGTCTTCGTGTCTTTTGTGGAATTCAGGGAGCTCACTCTGAGCATCCCTTTATTAGACTTTACGTGGGTGGTGGTGATGGAAGGATCTCAGCAAGTGACATGAGTTTATATCATGACTTGAGTCACTTGTGAAGAATCTACTCTCTACTCCAAGCTATGCTGGTGAGTGCTAGGTCCAGTTATAGAGGTATGTGATCAAGGCTTCTGCTCTGGAAGAGTTCATAGTTCAGGAGAGGATGCAGACAGGTGGCTAGAACATTCCATGCAGGGAACTAGGAGTTCTAACAAAGACCAAGGGAACAACATAGGGACCTGGAGAAGGGCTTAGGTCTTTGGCTGAGTGGTGAGGAGACAAGGTTGCCCATGGTAGAGGAAGCCTAAGTAAAGGAGAAGGCCTGGAAGTTACCATCAGATCAAATGTTCCTTAAGCCCCACAGGGAAACAATCCAGTCCTTGCTTCTTACCTGAAAGAAAGGACTTTCCTGGACTGGTTTTTGCTGCTGTACTTGTGGAACAAGGGGTTGGTAT